CAAGGAAAGGAATCATTTATTGCTTAATCTCTGTTGGTATTGATTTTGGCCAAGAATCCATGATTAATATAAAATCAAAATAGAAAATTTGGTGAAAGATTTGACGGATTCTTCTAAGGATTTTCGAAGAGAATTTGGATTTGGAGTGGACGATAGGTAGTCCTCTATATTTCGATCTTGTCGTCCGCTCCAACATTTCAATTTGGTTTCTATGCATTTCAATTTCAACAATTACGCCTTCTTGTGGTATAATTTCAATCTTTATAAAGCACGATCCTATCAATCGAGTCCCTATAGAGTGTAATTTAGATTCTGAATTTTCTAATTGATTCGATTATATCCCTAATTACCTCATTATACCTTCATGTAAATGCAATTATATCATTGAATGAATGTTTTTGTGTTTTTTTTAATCAATTTTTTATTATTTTTTGGGTTTTTTTTATAGTAAACTTTAATTGAAATAAAAATAAAACAAAACATACGCAAATGTGAATCAAATAAAGTAAAAAAATAAATGAATAAAATAAAATAATACAAAATGAGTAAATTTTAGGTTATTACAAGGACTCGAGTATTTTAATTTTTTTTTTGTTTGATTTGAATTTTTATGTATTTCACGTGTATTAAAATTGTTGACTTGGCACCTCTAATGGTAAAATAATTGAAAGTTGATGATGGTTGGAGAAGTAGTGATTTATTAAAAGCTGCCACATTTCTAACAACAAGGCTTACTTGACGATATCATGTGTGAATTTAACGGACACATCAATGTACAAATAATTACAAAACCACATAAATAACAAAAAGTTACAAGATAATATATTCAAATAGAAAGATTAAAGTTTACATATTCAAATAAATTTGGGCCTACTTGTCCAATTAAGGGCTACGTCAACATAAAGTTAACGTAACCATTCAAATAAAAAAAAAAAAACACAATTTAGTATACTTGAAATGCAAACTTTAAAGTTGAAATATTCAAATAAAAGAAATTGATAACTTTGCATACACCAAAAATGTAATTAACTTGGACTTATAATATACACTTAATTAATATAGTTATTATACTACCTATAAAATTGAACGACACGGGATATTAAAGTGATGCTAAAATAGCTTAATATATAAAAATAAACTCCTAAACACATGAAATTTTCTCTAAGATGAGTGTAATTGATATATAATCGAATTAGTAGATGAAAATAAACTTTTGAATAAGTTAATGGATTTTGAATTTGATTTTTTTTCCTCACATGTGAAATATATATATATATATATATATATATATATATATATATGAAATTTTCTCTAAGATGAGTGTAATTGATATATAATCGAATTAGTAGATGAAAATAAACTTTTGAATAAGTTAATGGATTTTGAATTTGATTTTTTTTCCTCACATGTGAAATATATATATATATATATTAACGAAACGTTTACTATAAAAGCTTTGTTTTGGTTAAATAATGATAACAACAACAACAATAATAATAACAAACAAGATATATATCAAAAGATATTCGCATAATAAGGATTAGGTAAAAATTTTTCCTATATACATATATTATAAACCGTCACAAAGTCGCCTATCTAGAAATCTTGAACTTGTATATGTATTTAACTCTTCCTCTCTCTCGTGCCCCACCAAAAGGTGAAACCTTAACCAAACCTTCTATGGATGGTTTTAGTTTTGGTTTGAAATCGTAAAACCGATGATTCAACGGTTTTTTTATTAAATGAAAAAATAAAAAAAATCGAACATTTTTTCTCAACATTAACATTGAAATGAAAAAAATTCTTTTTGCATAATGTATAAATATTATAATATTGTTTACATTATAATGTATTTCACATAATAAATCAAAGAAAAAAAGAAATAAATAAAGAAGGGCTTGAACTTAATTTTTGTAAACACTACAAAAATTAAGCTTCCTACGTATTCTCTTGTGGTTTAGAGGAATCAAAGCTTACGTAGTTCTCTTTTACATTTCAAATTACCCCTTTACAAATTACATCTATGTTCTATATAGTTACGCCTAGTTATTTTCTTGATCGGAAGTTTCGGCTCGAAGTTTCGTTGTTGTGCCGTCGGGTGTTAGATCCATACTTTCTTCATTGAAATCATATTGTTTTTGTTCTTGTGTTCTCTTATCGGCTCTTATCCAATCATCCACGCATACTTGGGCTTCAAGTGACTCGAGAGCCAATTGTGATCGCCTATCATCCAAAATATTACCTCCGGAGCTAAATGCTCTTTCAACGGTTGTTGTTGAAGTTGGCACAACAAGTATTTGTCTAGCTATTATGGACGGAATCGGAAAGGTGCTTGCATGTCTTTTCCACCAATCAATTACTTCAAAATCTACACATACATTGCTATCACCAAACTCAAACACGAGTTGTTAGATGAATATCAAGCTCGAAAGTAGAGCTCGATGATCCTCTTGGCCTTTTTTTCCTTTCCATGGCCATAAGATAACCGAGCTCTAACACGTTAGCTACTTGATGATGATTGTGGCATAGGTGGTAAAGAGGAATTAGCATGTTGATCACCCACAATTAAAGGCATTTCAACATATAAATCTCTAACTTTGTTTTATAATAGAAGCAGTTTCTATTTTTACATTTTTATCAAATAATTGCAAATACTCATAATAAGTATTCAAAACAACGAGAAAGACCTTCCATTTTAAATCTAGGATCAAAGACTAAAGCAACAAGATAAATAGGTGGAATTGTTTCATAATAACTTAACCATTTTTGTTTCATTATCCGAACAATGAGTATGTAAAGTTAGCATATCTTATTCTACATGATTAAAAGCTTCAACAATATTAATTGCTTCAATCATAAATAAATGTGAAGTTGGTTGATAAACGGCACTAAAAGTGTATGTTGCATTGTTAAAAACACTTAAAAGTTCCAAAAGTAGTTCGCAAATATCAAAATCATTTTGACAAATAAAAACGGAATCAATATTTTACGAAAAAAATAAGCATAATAAATCTCGATATTCAAAAGACTACCTAAGTAAGTCATAAGTTGAATTCTAACGAGTTGGAAATCTTTTGAAAATCGTCTTGGTTTTTTATTTCTTTCTTTTCAAAACTTTCTTCGTGATTTCATCTTTTGGGGATGTGTCCATAAATATTTAGCAAAAGCTTTAATTGGCCTAACAATATCTTTAAGATATTCCAAACTAGATTGCACATATAAATTTAAAACATGACATACGAATCTAATATGGAAAAACTTACCTCCGAGATGGGGTTGACAAAGTTTTCTTAAAAACTCTACGGAAGCATCGTTAGAACTAGCATTATCAAAAGAGATTGAAAATATTCTTAAAGGTAAAACATATTCATCTAAAATCCTTTTTAGTATTTTAGATATATTTTGAAGCAGTATGTTTATCATCAAAAACTCTATATGCAAAAAGATGTTTTTGAATGTGCCATTCATTATCAATCCAATGACAAGTTACACCCATAAAATAGTGCGTTTGTCATTGATCGGACCATATATCGGAATATATAAAAACACGACCATTCAAATTTGTAAATAATACGGTTAATTCTTTTTTTATCTCTATATAATTTTATAACTTTTTTTTTTTTAAAGAATGTCTTTCAACTTGCTTGAAAGCGAGATTCAAAGCGTTAGAACAATAATCGCTAAAACTCATTTTTTGACCAAAACTAAAAGATAAATGATCAACACATATCATTTTAACCATTTCTTCTTTATTTTTTTTATCGAGTATACTTGAAATAAAGAGGAAGATTGAAAAGCAAACTCGGATATTTGTGTCCGATGTCTATCATTACCAAGTACGGATGGATGATTTTTCTCCAAGTGGGTTTTAAGTGTTCCATAACCACCTACTTGTTTGAATGTGTATTACTTGTTGCAATAGTTGTAAATCACGGTAAAAACGCATTTTTCTAACGAAACTTTTAAGAAATGAATTTTGAAGATGTCGAATGATCTAGGTGTAAAATTTGATTGTTGTTGTTGCTCCCCTTCCCGATTTTGATTGACGATATTGCTTTGTTGTGATGGCATATGTGAACTTGAACTTGCCATTTTTTGTAGTATAAAATAATAGAAATGTAAAAATTTAAGAAGTATTTGGAGTATAAAAAATATTGTAGGATAGTATTGAGAATTCTAGACTTAAGAGTTTAAGAGATTAAGAGAGAATGAGAGATTGAGTTGTGAGAAGAATGAAAAAAATTGAAAGTGAGAGAGTATTTATAGAAAAGAAAAGAAAAAAAATAGAAAACGATCACAAACATTTATGACCGTTGAGTATGTGACAAACGGTCACGGACCATTTGTCACATACTCACACACACACACACGGATATATATATAGTCAAAATTTAAAAATTATTAGGCTTGATTTTTTTTTTTCATTTTTCAGTCCAATAGCTACTGTCCATCCCATATAAAATTGGTTTTTTTATTTAATTTTTTTTGTTTTTTTTCTACCCAATCCAATTTATTAGGAAAAATATGAAACCGCCGGTTCTACGGTTAATTGTCGATTTAGAACCGTCGGTTTCGGTTTCATGATATCTTAAACATAATCAACTCGTAAGTAACCGGTTACGGTCCAATTTGATTAAAGTTAGGGTTTTAACGGTTTCAATTCGATTTTTTAACGATTTGGTTTCGATTCGGTCTATGGTTCAAACCGAACCTTTACCATGCCTGGCCGCACCCTTTTCTTCTCGTCTCTCTAGAAACACTTTTCCTAGCTTGTTTTTTTAATAAAGAAAATCCATTTTCTTAGCTTCCGTGCCGTGGCTGCCTCTCTTTCTGCCTCTGTTTTTCTTTTATTTTCATGATCATCTCTTATCCTTTTTCTTGTTCTTTTTGTGATCAGATCTAAACTCCCCTCTTGAAGTTATAATTAGTATAGTATTTTCCTGTCAGATTTATGCGCCAACTCCCTTGTCAGCGACAGCTTATCTCTTTTCCCTTCACAAATGTCTGAATCTCATTCCGTAGAAGTCATTGATCAATTCGAAGTTTCTCCACCACCAGGCTCAGTAACCTCCACTTCTCTCCCTCTCTCTTTCTTTGACTTGCCATGGCTTCTTTGTGGTCCCATGCAACGCCTTTTCTTCTATGAATTCCCTTACTCTACTCTTTACTTCACTCAAAGCATCCTTCCAAGTCTTAAAAACTCTCTGTCCCTTACACTTGAACAATTTTTCCCTTTTGCCTCCAGTCTTATGTGCCCACCACCACCCCATAAACCCTATATCCTCTTCAATAATGGTGACTCAGTCCCATTCACTGTTGTTGAGTCAACGCTGGATTTTGACCAAGTTATCGCAGACCAAGCTGGAGATGTTAGAGAATTGCATCCTTTTGTTCCAAAGTTGCCTCCTACACGTGTAACATCAGATGGCACACGTGTGGTACCACTTCTTGCCTTGCAAGTGGCTGTGTTTCCAAATTCAGGTATTTGTATCGGTGCCCAATTTTGCCACGTGGCAGCTGATGGGATGGCTTTTCACCATTTCATGAAATCCTGGGGGTCAATTTTTAGGTCAAGAAATGACATGGCTTGCCTAGAAAAGTCAATGCTGCCGTCTCATGACAGGGCAGGGATCAAAGACCCACTGGAGCTTGAGTCCATCTTTTTGAAGGATTGGTGGAGTTGGGCTTCGTATTGGGATTATGATTTGGGGACAACCCACGATGATCAACTCACAGGCAAGGTTAGGGTTACACTTTCGATAGGCCAACCCCAGATTGAGAAGCTGAAAGATTTGGTCTCCATTCAATGCATGAAAAGTTATCCAGGGCAAGTGCATGTCTCAACATTTGTGGTAACATGTGCCTTTACATGGGTGAGTTTGATCAAGTCACAAGAAAACGAAACAAGTGTTTTATTTGACAACGACAAGATTTACTACTTGGTTTTTGTGGCAGATTGTAGACACCGTCTTGAAGTTAAACTGCCTACAACTTATTTTGGAAATTGTCTATCAATATGTTATGTAGCAGCGAAGAAGAGTGAGCTACTTGGGGAAAATGGGATCATCATGGCAGCTAAAGCAATTGGTAACAAAGTTAAGGAATTGCAGAGTGGGGTTTTTTGGGAGCTGAAAATTGGATTTCAAAATGGAAAGAGGTATCTGAACAAGGCAGGCTAACTATTGTTGCTGGATCACCTAAGCTACGAGCTTATGAGACAGATTTTGGGTGGGGGAGGCCAAAAAAGAGCGAGGTGGTTCACATTGATGCTTTAGGAGCTATAGGAGCTATGCATCTTTGTGAAAGTAGAGATGGGGCAGGAGGGGTTGAGGTTGGCTTGGCACTTCCTAAAGGTCAAATGGATGTCTTCAGTGGCATCTTTGAACAAGGTTTGAAGCAAAATCAAATTTGAGTTTGGCACTTCTCAGAGATCGTACCAGGTGGTCGGGAAACATAGCAATTTTCAAGCACAGTGACCATATTGTATCTGTCCATGGGACTTGTAACAGAGAGAGTTAAGGATGTGCTTCTCAGTTCTAGCTATTTGCAAGCCAGTCTATGATATAGAAGTTCTGACAGTGATCCCTAATATTCTTTTAAGCACTAGTTGGCTTGTGGGATTTGCACTACTGTGTATCTTTGTACAACTATGTATCTACACACCAATTTTCTAGAGTGGTTTATTTTTGTCCAAAAATTCCATATAAGCAGTAATATATTGTTTATCTAGTGATAAATAAGCTGGTTTTTACACGAATTTTTGTTAATATGTAAGATTTGAATTTTAAAATCATACTTGTTAAGGGAGGTTAAATATTATCGTTTCTATTTCAAATATGATTAATTGAGCTATGAGTTTCTTAAGTGGAAGAAGTATTTTTCAATCTTGTGTTTTACTAGGACTTTAACATATTCTTTATATGTTTACAAATATAGTGTAAATAAAACTCTTAAGTAATACAAAAGATAGGAATTCCTATAATAGTAAATAGGAATTTCTGAAACTAGATAGAATTCCTATAACCATCGTACTATAGCAGCGTTTATCTCTTTCATAGGTTTCTTAGTAGGACTATCTTAATATGATTAATTTTATCTTTAATGTAGGACGTTGATACTTGGACAATACACACACTTATACGTGTGTGCCTGCGCACGTAAATAAATAGTCTCTTTTGTTTAGATAAATGAATGAATGAATTTTTTTAAAAAAACTAATTATTTAGTTCATTGTGTTTTAATTCTATCAATAACTTAATTTTTTAATTGATTTTTTTATTAGATTAGTAATTTTTTTAAATTATCTTCTTTTTTTTTGGTTGAGGAGAGAAAATGAAATGGGTGAAGAAAAAAAATAAAGTATAAAAAGAAAGAAAATTTGGAAAAAATATCACGAATCTAACAAAAACCGATAAAATAAATAAATTATTGATGAAATTAAAAAATAAAAAAATAAATAATTATTTTTTAAAATAAAAAAAATTAATTAATTCGTTTCTTAAAACAAGAGAGATTAATTTATAATTTACTCGTGCAACTAAAGGTCCATTTGGCGTTGGAGTTACGTTTGGACCGTTTGGTGGTGGGAGCTTTTAGTGTCAGAAGCCAACCACTAGCCGTTTGATAAAACTTAAACCATGTATGGGGCCCACCCACTCTAGTGCTCTCAAACGGAGAAGCTCCACAGCTTTTGCAAATGCGCGGCACATGATGTAATAGTAAATAACCATTATACCCCTTCTTTTGTGGACACAAAGTCATCACGTCTTTTTTTTTTTTTTTTGTAATAGTAAATAACCATTATACCCCTTCTTCCAAAATTTTGTTCAGTTATAGTTATCCCTTTCATCTTTTTATACAAAAAAATTTATGTTAGAGTAATAATTTTTTACTTAAAAGTGTATATACATCTAATATGATGCTTTAAAATAATTTTTTTTACTAAGGTATTTTAATCTCACATTAAAAATCAGATTAATCAAGAGTAAAAAAATTTAACTCAATCGATTAGTATAATTTCAGAATTAAAATCTTAAACGCTAATAAAAAATTCGTCTAAGAATTAATTTGTTTACTATTGAATCAACAACTTATTCGATATACTATGAAATAATTTTATTAATTGAATTTCATAATAGTATCTAACTTAATAAAAAAAGGACAATATATACATTATATGTATACATAATTCTATATATAGTTTTAAATTAAAATATTTAATAATAATAAATTATTATTATTGTATTTCATTCTATTTTTTAAAAAAAAATCTTCTTAATTATCACTTTATTGAAACACATTTGGTGTAAAAATCCGAAATAATGTAAAAATCCGAAATAATTTATATTTTTTCACTAAAAAGAATAATTAATTAGCGACGGATATAAAATTATCGGACATATATAGTAATGAGTTAGTGAAACATCAAGAATTGTGATAAATTTTTTAATATGTTAAGTTAATAGTGATAAAATATTGACGAAGTAACGGCAAAATATTGCCATCGTTGAATTATGCGGTGAATTTGATCGACACATCACCTTGCAAAAAACGAATTTTAGACTTATCGCAACTGGGAGGAAACATTAACCTTCCAGCAAATGGGTAAAACTATCTATGGCTGAGGGACAAAGAACGTCTAAGGCTTGGGATGGACTCAAGAAAATATTGGTGTGTCCGTATAAGATATGATTTTCTCTCGCGATCTCTCTCTACGCTCTTTGTCTATTTCTAGGGATGGCAATGGTGCGGGGCGGGGACAAAGACAGCTATCTACGTCCTCGCCTTGCCCCTGAAAAATACTTTTCGTCCCCGTCTTGTGCTTTGAACGGAAAATTTTTTTTCCGTACCATCTTCGTCTCAAACAAAGACGGGGATCCTCATGAGATAAACAGAATAATTTTTTTTTCGTCTCGTTTTATCTCATTTTATTATTAAATTTTAAATTATAACAAAAAAATAATAATTTATATAGAAAATAAATCACTAAAAGTCACTGATTATAGATTTTATATAAGGTATAATTATAATTTTAATAATAACAAAAATGAAATGGGGCAAACGAGGTAGGCAAATCCCATCCCCGCCTTATCCCCGCTCGCGAGGCGCCCCGCCTAGCCTCGTTCCCCGATCAACGTAGGAAATCCCCGCGTTGATCGGGGAAAATTGACATAGGATGGGACGGAGCTCCGTTGGGGTGGAGCAAATTGTCATCTCTATCTATTTCTATGCGTCACATAGTTTTAATCAATTCAATTAGGGATTTCAATTTTTTTGGTCTTCGTCTTTAATTTGTATTAGGGAAGCTTGGTTATTTAAATTTGTTAGAAGGAGAGACAAAAACCACATCTCTAGAAGTGTCTTTCTCTCATATCACATGGTTTTTTTATCAATCAATAATTCAGAATACTTTATAAGTAATTTTTTAAAAATAAAAAACACAAAGATTTCTTATTTTTTTTGTTGTGGCGTGAAAGAGTAAATTATAAATTACTTTCTCTATTTTGAGAACTGAATTTATTATTTTTTATTTGAAAAAATTAATTTTTTAATTCATTGATAAGTGTCTATCACGTTTAATTAAATATTATTTTATTTAATAAAATATTATCTTTTTATATTTATTTTTAAAAATAAAAAATAAAAAAAATTCAAAAAAAATTAATTTGCAAGAAAATTAAAAAATATAAAGATTAAATATTTATTTTATGAAAAAAGGACTAATTAATTCCTTTTTCTAAACTAAAAGAACTAATTTGTAATTTACTCTATTGTGGAACAAAAGGTCTGTTTGGCATTCATAGATTATTTTCAGTGGTTGGAGATTTTAAGGGTCAAAAGCCAACTGCTAGCCGTTTCGTAAAACTTCAACCATGCATGGGGCCTACGTGGGCCACCACTCCAGAACTCTCAAACGAAGAAGCTCCATAATTTTCGCAAAAAGGGGCGGTACATGAGTAAATTATAAATTAGTCCCTATTGTTTCGAGAAAGAATTAATTAGTTCCTTTAGTCTTAAAAACTAATTATTTAGTTTTTTAACTAGTATTGACTATTACTTATTTAATTTTTTTATTTTATAAAATTTATTAATTTATCATCAATATTTTTATATTTTATATTTTATATTTATTAAAAAATCAAAATAAATTAAAAAATAGCAAAAGGGTTAAATAATTAATATTTAAAATTAGTGGGACTAATTTGTAATTTACACCATATTATACCCCTTCTTTTGTTAACACAAGTCACCATAGTCCATGTCTTTTTTTTTTCTTTTTTTTATTCTTTGTAGAGTAAATTATAAATTAGTTCTTCGAATTCTGAAAACAAATTCACTAGTTCATCTTGTATTAATAACTAATTATTTAATTCTTATTTTTTAAAATAATTATATAAAATATCTAGTTGAACAGCATTAATTACTCTTAAATTTGTGAGCACACATGGGCTTACGTTTTCTGGGTCACAAAAGACTTAGATTCCTTCAAAAGTCAATACTGCCATCTCTTGACTGGCTAGGATCGAAGACCCATTTGAGGTTTAAGTCCATTTTTTTGGCTGGAATTGGGCTTTATTTTGGCATTACGATTTGGGCTCAACCCATTATGAAGAACTTGCAGGCAAGGTTGTGGGTCACTTTGGTGATAAGCCAACCCAAAATTGAGAGGCTAAAAAATTTGTTCTCCATTCGATGCATAAAAAATTTGCATGGCCATTTCATATATATATATATATATATATATAATCATTTTTTCTTAGATATTACTTAATGTATGGTTATGTTACGTTATATAACGATTTCAAAGTCTCTATTATCATTGTTCAGTATTATATAACAGATCACGACTATTATTTTATTATTATAGATATGCAATAAACCGTGATCTGTAATTGCAATCAGTATCATTTTTTCAATTGCATGTGTAATTTAAAATTATACTCTTAACATCATGGTCTTCACATTTTCTTAATTAAAAAAATTCCTTTACCATTGATCACTTCCAGCAAGCCACAAGAGGCATTGATGAGTTTCCAACTTAGCAACTTATATTTGATACAATCAAGGATATTCATACGTGATCATATTTAATTTGAAAAAATATATTTGATCAGGCATAGGAAAAACGAAAACAGAATATACTATCTTCGAAAAGTACTCATTAAAGCCACTAACTTGGAGAGCGAAATGCTATACAGACGGGATCTTTCAGATCAGATTCTTAGATAGGGGAAAGAAGTTCACAACATATAGGACAAAAAACTCTGATGGGTAGATCGTAATGGCCAGTTCCAACATGTCAATGATTTGGCTAGCATAGCATATTTACTGCTCCACAATATTTGAGTAGTTCTTCTCTCGGAAATTACGTGAACCTATATTATTGAAGCTGTTTCTTGATTGAGTCTCTTTGTCTACATTGATAAATGATTTTCCATCTAAATTGCATACATTATCCAATAAAACAATTGAGAAATCTTTGTGAAGTCGGGGATGCAAATGAGGATTTTTTTTTTAAATAAGGAAATAATTTTATTTATTTATTTTTATCAGCCGAATAGACTATTGTGCCAAAATAAGCCTCGAACAATTGTGGTCTGTCTATGGTCCAACTACTATTTTAGCCTTTGGTATCATCTTGGATCCAAGGACCATCAACTAGAGAGTCTAAAATTTGGACATAGCATTATTTTTAGTAAATTATAAATAAGTCCCTTTATTTTTAAGAAAAAAATTAACTATTTTTTTTTATTTTAAAAATTAATTATTTAGTTTTTTGATTAACGTTTGAAATCTTTAGCTTTATATGAAGAACTTGTAGGCAAGGATGTGGATCACGTTGGTGATAAGCCAACCCAAACTTAAGAGGCCAGAATATTTGGTCTCCATTCAATGCAAAAAAAAATTCCATGGCCAATCGTGGATATATATATTTGTTCTTGTATATTACTTAATGGCTCTTATCTATCTTTAGGTTTTTAATTGTATTCTATTTAGGTCTAAATATGTTTGAAATATCTAATATTTCCTTCAGGTCTAATTTTTCGATCAAATAAAAAAAATTTGATCGAAATTTCCTTGATTGAAATGTAAAATAAATAAATAAATAAATAAAAAGACTTTAAAAATAGAATATTTAGTTCATATAACTTTTAAATTTTTTTCGCTTTTTAATAAAGGATATTTCAAAAAAAAATATTAAAATGATAGATTAAATATTTTAAAATTTTTAAAAACAGATGAGATATAATTGAAAGTATAAAAATAGATGAAAGATATTATGTATTATATAAAGAAAAATGGTATGTTTGTCCTATATATTGGTACACTAATTTTTCTTGCAAAGTTGGGTTCTCGTGAGGATGAGAACGTAATAAGTTGGAAGATCCCTCCACCGGTTTAAGCCCATCTGTTGGGAAGAAAAATAATGAACAAGCAAAAATGGTATACGCCTATATAACTTAAAGAGATGGGGTGTTACTAAGTATTTTATCGTGCAGTTTTTTCAAAACACTGTGGACATACATCGATCCACATAAACAGATAAACCTTGCATTTTACTGTGAGTGGCATTTTAGTGCTTTATAATTAAGCTTTTTTCAATAATTGTACATGCAAGTTTTAGCGCACTTTAATCACTTATTTTTTTAGAAAATAATTTTATTTTAATTTCAAAATTCATTTATATTACGGTCAGATCTCCAAACCTAGTTGTAAGAAGAAGAGAGAAATGACGGCAAAGGAAATAGAGTTACAATGAGACGCATTCCGATCTAGTTGGCTTTGATGTTAATCAAATTTAGTGGAACCTTCCAACGCAAAAAAATTAGTCATGCCAATTTTCCTATAACTAGACATTGATATAAAAAACTAAGAGATTTATAAAAAATAAATTTGGCTTTTTTTTTGTTGAATAAAGTTTACTGGTCCCAAATTTCAATTGGCTTGTATTTGGTGTTGATCGAGTTATCATCATATTATATCTAATTTAAAGTTAATAGTTTAAGGTTAAATTGTAAAATACTTTTCTGAACTTGAGTGGAAATACAAATACCTTTCTAAAAAAAAAAAAAAAAAACACCTTTGATTTTATCTCCTAAACCATATGATTTTGTCCCCTTGAGATTTGATTGATAAATTGACGGAAAAACTTTTAAAAATCCTCTCAATTTCTCTTCTCTTTTTTTCATTCGTAAACATGTTTTTTTTTTAATTCGTAGGAAAAAAAAAGACAACTCAGTATTCAATTTTTAATTATTATTATTATTTTATTTGAATTTCCAATCAATAAATCAGTCTAATAAGTTTTGATTATTATATTTTATTTATTTAGTGTCTACAATCATTTTACACTAAAAAATACTGATACATTTAAAATGAACTATCATATGATAAAAAATAAGTCCTACTTGAATTATTAAAAAATATATTACAATTAATATTCACAAGAACACTTTCTGTTTTAAGTGCAAGCGCACTTTCTCTCCTTTTAACAACCTTGTTTCTTTACTTGCAAAGTGCCAAACACAACTAGCTAGTAGTATTGCAATAAAAGAAAATATTTTTTTATTAAATTAATCAAGATCTACATCAAATTAAATAACTGATTTTTAAAATAAAAAAATTAATTAATTCGTTTCTTAAAACTTAAAAAAAAATAGTTTATAATTTACTCCTCGTCATGAAGAACACATACACCCAGAATGGCTACTATTGCATCGCCAAATCAACGTCCATTTTGGTGGCCAAAAACACCAATGGATCGTCCATCACCACCACCAGCAAATCATCTACGTGTAATTTTAATATGCATCGTACAAAATTTCTGCCACAGTCCTAGACCACGTCCCCTACTTCATCTTCTCATAATCCAACAACTGACAAGATCAAAAAATAATTTTATCTTCTTAGATCATGCTGTAAATTCTTTATACATTATAGTATTTGGAGCAGAAAATTCTGTTGATTTACATAATATTTTCTATCAACTACGTAGTATATAAACTATGTGCATGAAGTTCTTCATAGAACAACAATGTCTCATACTTTGAAAACCTCTATTTTTTTTTATATGCATGCATGGATGTGAACTCATAAAAGATTAAATGATACCTTGAAAGGTTGATCAAAAGTACAAAAACCTACCAATATTCAAAGTTTGTTGGAGTTCTTGGCTATCTCCAACAAGAATTTAACAACATATGTATTGCTACCATATACTTAGTTTTTGCATATTTTAATGTAATTAAGTCAACTCTTAAGATGTGTAATGGCCATAGACATGGAGAGTAAGCCATGCACAAGCAAACCCTAGATTAGTGACAAGTAATTACCTCAACGAATATAGGTTATGTAAGCAAATCTATTAAATTTATAAGCCATGCATTATAAAAGAAATTATGGTGACGAACTGTTTCAGGAACTTTCCTCAACAAGTCTATAGAATGATATCACAACCATATAAATGGTAATGGATGGAAGATTCAAATAATCTAGATAAATTAATTATGTTCTTAGTTTAATGTTAAATGTGTCATCATGGTAATCTAAAACCTTATCTATACATGTATTCTTTTGAGTTATAAAATTACATTGTCATGTAGACAGCAAACAGGGAGACAAGAGACTAAAGATTTTTCCTTTTTTTTTTTTTTGAACTTCGACTAAATAATTAACACCATGGTTTATAGAAAGAGTAATGCTATTTTTACATAATTGTTTTATAGAATTTAATTATCAAAAAAATACCAATCATTGAATGGTTGTCTCATGTATTAAATAATTAAGTAGATTTAGTTTTTAATTTTTATAAATATAATAGTTGATAAATACTTTTTATATAATTAATTTCTTTCGGCATATTGTATTAGCTACCAAGAACTCATGGATAGCATTCCTAAGACGATTTGAATTGTATTGATAATGGTTAATGACATTGGCTTAGCTGGAAACCCTACGCCCCATCTTCCCTTTTTTTTTTTAATTGAAAGTTGATAGGAAATGTTGTTAATTTTTCGTTTTAATTCCTCAAATTTCCCAAGTGAACGAGTTTGAATTGAATGCTGAAGATGATGTCAATTTTACTAACTTTACTAACTAAACTAATTAACTTGTTCTTCATGATCAAATGTACTGAAATTCTTCTAGGGCAATATTTTCAAGGTGTAAAAACTAAAAATATAAGAAGGGTGAACAAGCAGAGCAAGCAAAGTTCAGGAAAAAATATTGACCTAGGGGAAAAAATAGAATGTAATAAAATAATATTTGACCAATGGCTCTGATTGTTAGCTAGAGGGTGGATGAAATTAACACCAGATTTTCAATGACTTTGAATTTGGTTCCAAAGATAGAGTGTGTATGTAGCCTTTCAAGCTTCCACAGATAAAACAAACATGTAATACTTAGACTGTCAAGGGACAATTGTCAAGTTTAGAGAGCTACAAGCTCATAGAGAAGAGAAGGTTGACTTTCTTGTTGGAGGTAGAAAGGACACCTGTAGTTCATTCTACGTGGCTGGATTTTGATGGTCCATTTAGATTGGTTCCAGCTTGGAAAATCATCGGCCTCTCACAAAAGCACACCTGTAAAGGGCATTGGCTAAGCATCAGAGATTATGTTAAAATATTATCACGAGGAGAAGGAGCTAAGAAGTCTTTGATGCATTTGGAAGAAAGATGGTAAAAGTAGACCATAAGCCCTAGCTCCCATATAATATTGGCATGGACATGGAAAATTGGTATCCACATATATATTAATGGAGAAAGGGAGTAAGGAACTGCTACTTTGTCTTATCAACTTTACCAAAATCCTACCCTTATTTTTTTGGTATAAACTTTTTTTAAAAAAAATAATATGATACGACAATTAATGATTTAATTCAAATTCTTGATATTTGTTGTATAAACGGCTTGTATACATATTCATTAAAAAAAAGTTAAATGAACCATAATATAAGAATTGTTTCGAAGAATCGATACATATAATTAAAATTTTTGAGATTTTTATTTTTTAATACGTTTAAATCGTAAAAAGTATTGGACGTAATCTAGTAATAATAACAGACTATCACTTATTTTATAGCTCAAAACTATATATATAGCTTTATTAAATGAGTAATAAGTTGAAAATTCATTATCGGCATTTGAAGAAATTAACTAAAATTAATGGAAGTTATAAATTTTGTTCTTAATCATTAGTGCTTTTGTATTTATGTTTATACACCCTCATATGGCTAATTACTTGATTTTTGCTTGGCCATTAGATCTAGTACTACTGTGCTGAAGTGCTGATGGCAGCCAACGTAGGAGGCCTCTCTTGATGGGCAAATGATTTTCAAAAAATGATAGAAACCATCAAAGAAACAGTGGAAAATTTTCTTCTATTTGTCTAACTACTCTACCGTCCAATCATTCTCATTTTGGACATGTACAAAAAAAAAAAAGTCAACGGCATAATACAGTTACCATTTCTCTATGTATGATCCAATTTCGTTTAATTCACCTATTTTCTTAGGCATTCACACCATGATCAACAATTGGGTAACATGCATATCCTTCACAGATTCAATGCTTTTTGACTTTTTTTCATTTTATAGGCAATCTAAAGTATAAGGATTTCTTCAATTTGGGAACTAGATGTGAAGATGGAAGCATTTCTCTTTGATAAAAGAAAATAATCCTAAGCTATAAAAAAAGAAAAAAAAACTTGCAGCATTTGTCATGTAACTTGAACCTAAAAAAGACCATTTTACATGATTAAAAAAGGGATCATTTTAACTCATTTTCCTCAGGGGCCTATGCCATGATGGCTCAATTATATAATATGATAGATCTTATTAATGAAGGAGAGTTTATTATATAGATCAAATTCATACCACATTATAAAAATTCGGCTGGTATTAATAATATTAAAATTCGCTATAGTACTATGCAATCAATCAAATTTGATATCAACGAGTTTCATACTATAAAAGGATCATCTTAATCCAAAATTTTAAGTTGTTAGGTAAGCCTTCGTACTACCTTATGCTTAATTAATTAGAAAAGAAAGTAAGATGATACGATTTAAACTTTTAATTGTTAGATCGGTAAGGTTCGATATCATATCGGATGATCATCTCACCTAAAAATGTATGCTATTATGTGAGATCTCATAAATAATTTTATATTATTTTCTAACATATACTATCATTCAAGATGTTATTAAAAGAATAATCTCTCGATGAATTTTTTTTTTTTTTTGCTTCTCGTACTTGTAATTGGGCTGGTCATAATATATATAGCACAGAAAAGCTTTATAGATCGTCATTCGTTTGATAATTCTGAATCTTTTCTTAGTTAGATCTATGATCATTTGGAAGATCTCAACATTTCCACTTAATACAAGAAATGGAATTATCTTTAGCAAAAAAAAAAAATCAAACAATTTTGATTTAGTTCCACTCAGTATGTATAAGTGAATCTCAAGTTTAGTAGTTAAAATTAATTAAGTTGAGGAAAAATAAGTTGGTTTTTAGAGTTTAGATCCATAATTATTTACTAATAATTAATTTTATAGTTTAATGATAATCTTGCTACGTAAATAAATAAATAAAATTTGAAATTCGAATCTCACCTTAGTCATAAACTCTTAAATTATAACACACTCATCCGAAATAAAAAATCCATAATTATTTTTTAATAATGTATCAATTTTCACAAATAAGAATAGGTTTTAATCAAGATAATTAACCAAAACTAAATCAATAGATTCATGAAAAATTATTTTTTTCATTATCTACTTAAGATTCCAACATAGATTTATAACTTTTGAATATGTCGCCTACTTTCTACAAATATTGTGTAGAAACATTAACGTGTCACCTTTTTATATATTTACAATTTTGATTACACATTATACACATGTATTATTGTATTATTAACCTTGAGACGAGAGATACGTGGCTTGAGGCCGGCACCAAATCTTTTTGACTTGAGATCTCTCTCTCTCCCCCGCTATATATACGAAGGGTCATCTTCTCCGTAGCAGCCACAATAACATTTTCTATCTTGAAAGCTAGCCCACTTTCTCTCTTTTTAACAACCTTGTCTTCTGCTTTGCAAACCCTAACCACAAGTACTAGTATTGCAAGAAAAAGAATGGGAAGAGCACCTTGCTGTGACAAAAATGGACTCAAGAAAGGTCCTTGGACACCAGAGGAAGATCACAAGCTCATCACTTATATTCAGCTTCATGGACCTGGCAACTGGCGCTCCCTGCCCAAAGATGCTGGTATATGTCTGGAAAATAATTATTTTCACCATCTTAATATGATGGTCTCTTTGTTTTATTTTTCTTATAACTTAGTTAATTTTATCATTGATTGCATTTACAGGGCTCCAAAGATGTGGAAAGAGTTGTCGACTTCGGTGGACAAACTATCTGAGACCTGATATCAAGAGAGGGCGATTTTCATTTGAAGAAGAAGAGAGTATAATTCAACTCCACAGTATTTTGGGAAACAAGTAAGACTATTATCCCTTTATTTTGGTTTTTATTGATATTTTTCTTTTTAGCAGCTTGCAGGATTAGTGTGTTAATGATTACTAAAACTTCACTTAATAGTCTAAATTTTTGAATTAAATATTTTTTTAATATAGTATCATAAATTTGATAACCAAATGATCATGAGTCATAAAACTTTATATGAGATTGTTCTTTCAGAGTGATTAAGAATAATATTGTTGTTGTAATGATATTCATGAATTAAGTTGAATTAATGTCTTGGTTTTTTTTTTCAATGTTAGGTGGTCTGCTATAGCAGCTCGTTTACCAGGAAGAACTGACAATGAAATCAAGAATTATTGGAACACTCACATAAGAAAAAGGTTGCTTAGAAATGGAATTGATCCTGTCACTCATGCCCCACGTCTCGATCTTCTAGACCTATCCTCCATTCTAAGTTCAGCTTTGTGTAACCCATCATCACTTCTCAATCTGTCAACTTTGGTGGGCAATACTCAGGCGCTACTAAATCCTGATCTCTTAAGATTAGCCACTACTCTATCATCATTGAAACAAGAAAATTCAGACCTGTTTTTGCAACAACTACAAGAAAACCAGTTTTGTAATTCACTGTTACAAAACCAAGCTGTCCCTGCATTATCATCACAGCCTAGCCAGTTTGAGAATCTAGCTCAACAAGTTCCTGCTTGCACTACAACTACATCTACTGCTCCATTCCTTAACCAAACAACACAACTTATGCAAGAAAATGTGGAAGGTTTTTCGTCGCATCCGACGAGTACATTTAGCTGCCAAAATTCCCAAGAAAATTTCGTGCCTTCAAGTTTGAATGATAGTTTGGTTTCACAGCCAAACTTTTATTGCAGTAGCACTTCTACAAATCCTACAGTTCCTGCACTTGGAGAGTTCTCAGGATTCCAACCAGTAAACAATGGCTATCAGAACTTTAGCATTGACTCGGTTTTGTCAACGCCATTAATGAGCCCGGATCCATTGAATTCATCATCAACACATGTCAACAGCAGCAGCACTGAGGATGAGAGGGAGTGCTACAGCAGCTTTTTGAAGTTTGAAATTCCTGAGAGTTTGGACATTGATGATTTCCTGTAAATACATATTGCCTAAAATATGATAGATAATGTAAGACTAGATTGAGGTTTTTTCTGTTTTTGTAGTTTAATTTTGTTTTGGATTTTCATGTATTTATGTTCATATATGCATATATATGAAATTTGTTTTATTTATTTTGTTTTTTTATATCCATGTACGTACATGAATTTCTCCTAATATAATGATTTTGTTGCCTCATAAAAAATATATAAACCATTGTTCCTTATCCAGAAGAACTAATGTTGGAGTGTGGCTAGGTATTTGGAATTCCTTGGCAAGACTGCTTGGATTTGTAATATATATATATATATATATATATATATATATATATATATATATTTCAATTTAAAAGTTTCAGTTGTTGAATTTAAATTCTTAACAGTTTGGTTAATAAAATTTTGATATCAAATAAAAAAAAACTATATCAATTTAAAAATTTAAATTATTAGATAAGTTTTCAGAATGATATTTTTATATTATTTTCTAGCCAGATTTAAATCAATTTCCTTAATATTAGATAATTAACGTTAGGTAGAAAATTAATTATTTGGAATTATGTATAGAGGAAGTAATTAATTATTATCATTAATGAAAAACTTATATCAATTACAATTTAATCAAAAACCAGAAACATGAATTCCCTTGTATTTAACAGAGAAAAGTGCATTGTATATAAGGGCTTGAACCTCGAAAATTAGAACTAACTCGAATAACTTAATTGATCATCTAAAATTTTTTAGAATCTGCATTTAAAAATATTTATATTAATTGGGACTAAATTTTTTGAAGTATTATTATTCCTTAATTACTACAACTTTTAGTCCTATAACAACCCACTAAAAAGAAAAGGTGGAAGAATATCTTACACATTGAGATTTGAAAAATAGATGCTTATTTGAATGGAACTTTCAGCCTAGCTCTTTCTATTTCCAAAATGAATTCGTCACTCACTTGGTATGCAAGATTTGATGAATTCCTTGATCAAGTTGTTATGATTAGTATAACTACCATTTCCACTCGAATGGAAATTAATGCTGAAATACCAAATACATAAATATATAATTTAAGAAGCAAGGAAAATTTCTTTGAATTTTCCATTTTGGTGACACGATACCATTGTCATTTCCATATCATCATCCATCGGTTTTTATCAATCTACCTTTTCTTTTCACCTTGACCAGACCGCCCACGAAAAGATGGTTTCGTAAAGCACTTTCTCTTCCGACCAGAAAAGGATCAAAGTGCTCCGCAGAAGCTTTCAAATTTCAACACAAAAAGTGCCATCTTGTCTTCACATATGACTCTAATTTTCCTTCCAATCATCTGCTTGTTGAAAAAGAAAAAAAAATTATCTGATCAATTGGAAAAAAATTGTGTAAATAGGATTAAAATGCTTTAATAGAGATGCTAAGCTTGTAAGAGAATGATTCAATCTGAGAATCTACAAAACAGTTTTGCCACTCTAATGAATTAGTCAAATACTACTAAATCAGTTTTTATTTTGAATTCTATAATTTAAATTTTGCGTCAACATGAAAATCTGTTAAAATTTGAGATGAATTTGAGAAATATAAGGTTATCGAAAGGGATTAATCTAATAGTTGAAATGATATTCTTTATCTTTAATCATCAAGGTTTAAACTTAACATTAGGCCATAAAAACTAATTTTTTCATAAATCTCTTAATTTTGACATGAATAGTTTGTTTTTGATCAATTTAGACTTCAGATGTATAGACTTAATTTGGGTTTAAAAAGTCTAGTCTAAGCTAGATTCCATGTATTACACCATGTAGTTGAAGGGATTGTTCTGGTAGTTGAAATCATATACTTTATATTTTTTTCAGGTATTTTTATTTTATATTGAAGATACGATTAATTGTCTTCGGAGCAGCAGCTATAAAGTTCAATTTTTTTCAGTAAATATGACTCTAGGATTCAAATCCTATATATTGATAGAAAATTCGTTTAGAAAGTCGATCGTTTACCACTTGACCAAATAACTTTTTGATAAATCATATACGTTATCTTTAATTATTAAGGTTCAAAATATACGTTAAACTACAAAAAGTAAAATTTTCTAAAACTTCTTAATTTTGACATGAATGGCTAGTTTTTGATCCGTTTACACTTCAGAACTTAATTTCGACCCAGAAAGTCTAATCCAAGATGCCATCTCGTTGTAGAAAAAAATAGAATTATTTTGATATTCATTGGCCAATTCTTCACTAATTATGGAGGGTACTTCAAATAAAATTATTTTTTCCAATCTTTGCGAATTGCGACGGCCATAGATATATAAGGTAATGTGCAGTTACTATCGTCAACAGTTCTGCTATTTTATATTGCTGTAATGACCTAAAACAAAATGTGGGTCTTCTGGTAAAAGTGAGGCAGAAGGAACTAGCTAGATAGGCTGGTTTTTTATATCACTTGCTTTCAGCAACAAGCCTACAAAAATCAACTAAGCATGACCTAATTACTGACGTAAAAAAGGGAAAATATATAATTTTTGTAATAATTCTTAATAATTTATACAGACAATAATAGTTTTCTTGTTTTATTTTGTTTGTTTGCATTATATTTTCCTTACGCGTTATTTATTTGTTCAAGGCAAGTATTAATTGTCAAAATACACCTTTAACTTGGTAGAAAAATGAAACACTTATATCCATGTGTTTGGACACCGACAAAGGATGTTGCATGCTGATCGATCATTTTCACTTGTTTGACCTTCCAAATTATGGACGGAGGGAGAGAGATTCTTAATGAGTAATTTGATAAACAAATTAATTAATCTTTCTTATTTTAAAAATTAATTATTTAATCATTTTTATTTTATTTTATGTTCTTTTCTGTTAGATATTATGGTAAAATTCATCAGGAAAAATATTTTTTTTAAATAATAGTATTAAATTAAGTAACTAAATAGTCATTTTTAGGGTAAAAATTGGTCACTAGTGACAAAAGTATTTTTAATTTTATGAAAAAACTCTTAGTTTGTCTCTTCCTTTATTTTTTTGTTTTCTTTTCTCTATAAAGAGAATAGTATATTTATACTTTATTCGAACAAGAACGGTGACACTTTGAAGCAGGTCCAAAACCTTCAAACAGCACGAAAAGTGGCCTTAGAAAGTCCTATAGAAGCTCATTATCAATGATAGAATTGATTTCAAAGTTAATCATTGCCAAAAAGAAAACCCGTAGATCCACATCTCAGTGAAATATCCCACCTGGATTACAAATTAAAAAAAATTAATTAATTAGATGATATGTATAATTGTATACAAATTCTTATGCATCAAAACCGAATGTAGGTGAAATATTTTTGAATCAAATTTTAGATAATCAAGTTTTTTGAATTAGATTAATATAAAATTACAATTAATTTTTTATTGATTTTAATTCTTTGAATACACTAGCAACTCAAATTCAATATTATATAAAAAGAGACGAGAGTTTTTCAAAGATAGAAATCAAATTCCTAATCTAATGAATCAAATAAGTTTTTTTTATCATTCTATCTACAACTTTTGGTGTATACTAATCTGATAAATTAAAAATGCTTTTTTTTATCACTCTATTTACCACTAACTTCTTAAATTTCTAATTTAATTGAGTTCCTATATTTATATTAAAAAAATAATATAAATTATATTTTGAATTTTTTTATTTAAGCTGTTTCAGTTCTTGAATAAGATGATCATTTGATATAATGTTAAAACATTACTAACTTAACGATCATCTATTTTTTTTAATTAAATAAACATAAAATAACCGTTTAAATTTTTAAGTAATATGATTTTTCAACAACAATTCCAATCTCCTCATTGGCACGACGTTAAGCCATCAGAGAAGAAAGGGATAATGTTTGTGCAAAATTTGGTAACTCTAATTACGAATGGAATGGACAAGTAAGCACATTGTGGGCTCCAAGTCACTAATGAATTTTCTGGGTGCTCATCCTATCATGATACATATACAGATCCATTTTTGCTTTAGTTCACACCATCTGTGACACTTTGAAGTGAATACGAAGGATTGGTAATGGCATATTGTCATGTCTAACAAAAGGGCCAATGGCCCTACCAAGAAATAGCGTGAGCTCTGATTGTTTTGCTTTTCTGTTTTCTTCGTGTTGATTTTTGACAAGTTAGCCTCCTTCCATGTGAAGAAACTTTTGCTTTCTATCGTTGATTAAGACATGAACTCTTACAGTTACCTAACTCGAAAAATTTTCTCTCTTTCTATAAAAGAATCACCGTTTGCATTTTTTTTTCGAGTGAAAACCTAAATTTGGATTCGAAGTTTCACATAAATTATAGAATTCACATGGATTATATTTTATGCATTAATCAGATTAGTACTATAGGAACTTTTATGTTGTTTTTAAGTGGATCAAAACCTAGATTTGTTGGGCTAAAATGTTTTGTAAGAGGAAGAGTCTTTCAAGGCTGCATAGAGTCACTAGGTTAGAGAACAAACTGATGCTTTCTTTTCTCTTGTAGAACATTTGTGAGAATTTTATATTATTTCTTCGTCTTGCGCTTTCTCCTTATCTTTTGTATGTAATCCATTTTTCGTAGTTAATGAGAACCAATGAATGGATTACTTGTAATCCGGTTTTCGATATACCCTCTTTTTTTTTTTTTTACCTGATTTAAAAGAGAATTTAATTGTAATAACACGTAGTTTTTTTATCTTTACTTTTCTAAAATATCCTTCCATGTCAAATTTGAGTCTTAAAATGTTTAAAAATATATGAAGATCGTTAAGTCCTCTTAAAATCAAGATATTCATTCCTCCTACATTTAAGTTGAAAAACTTTTAGAAACAATTAAAGATCATTAAGGAATTCTAAACTTTCACTAAAATTTCAAGCTAATCCTAAAAGAAGCACTTCAGAATTTAGCTAATAAAACTTAACTGATTAAGGTTTATTACTAATTGTATGATTGAAGCTACAAAAGCATATGCATACTAAGTTTAATCTGAAACATCATGGCACGTTAATAAAGCAGTGAATAAAAGAGAAACATCATTTTATACTTTTTGAAGAGGTTGTGGTTTCTTAAAGGATGTAATGTAACCCTAGAGATCTTTTTTTTTCTTTTTTGGGATGTGCTAACTTTTAACTCAGAGTGCCAAAAATATATCTCTTTTAATATATTTATATGGATAGAATGTTTCACCTTCATAATTAATTGAATGAAATTCTAATTTATAATTCAATGTTTTTAATTATATATACAAGTTAATATATATATATATATATATATATATAAACAATAAATGCTTGCTAAACTGCAGATATGATCATTTGCATCATGGTTAAAGGGGTATTTTACACATTCCAAATCCATAAAACTAGGCGAGGCATGCCTTCGTAGTTAATTATAAATTAGTTCTTTTATTTTTTTAAAAAATGAATTAATTAATTTTTTTATTTAAAAAACTAATTATATCGTTTTTAATTTAATATTATTTTATTTTAAAAATATTTTTTTCATCAATCTTTGCCTAATATCTTTATTTTTTATTTAAAAATATAAATTATAAAATAAAATAAAAACTAAATAATTAATTTTTCAAACAAACAATATTAATTAATTCGTTTCTTAGGGGTAGGGAGGCTAGTAAATTTAGGAGCCCAAACCCAATCAAAATCAATAGTGGACTATCAAAGTCTTTGCCTTTAACTTTTTCTAAGCCTACTGTTGTCTTCGTTCAGGCTATAGGCATTGTTTCTGAGAATGCGAGCTTTAGGGAGTAAATTATAAATTAGTCCCTCTCGTTTCAATAAATAAATTAGTTAGTCCCTACTTCTTAAAAATATTATTTAATCATTTTACTTTGAAATATACTTGTAATTTAGTCCTTTTTTTTACAATTTTTTAATTTATTTTGATTTTTTTTAAAAGAAATAGGAAAAGAGAAAAAATATGAAAAAATTGATGAGAAATAAGAGATTTTGTGAAATAAATATAATATTAAATTGAATATAATCAATACTGATTAAAAGATTAAATAATAATTTTTTAGACAAGATGTATTAATTAATTTGTTTCTTTTTCAGGGCCAAAAACAAAGCATTGCACCAATTTCTTATTTCAAATTTCATAATGGAAAAAAAAAACTGGTTTTCTGAATGTTTACCCATATAATTTTAATTTTTCAATAATGCCTGATAATTATAAATATACTTCTTCTTTTTTTCTGTTCATCCTGCATTTATTTTTCAGTGTCAAATTTTGTTGCACTTTTGACAAATATTTCCAACCATATTCTGTACTCTTTTTTCTTTTTCTTTTTTTTTTGGTGCAAGACGAATAACTTAGCCGTATGGCAGGGTAGGAAATCGATGGGCCTTGGGCCATCCCAGAAACAATCACTTTTAGAAGTAGAAAGTTAGCCCAGATTTTTAAACAACCCACTCCAAAATCTAAAGCCCAACTCAGTTTGGGCTACTCCATATGTTGACACTACAAAAGCAAGTGTTCTTCCGACGGCTCTTTTGGTGGCCATAGAACATACGCACCGCTTTTCGTCGCCAAAAGGTTTTGGCGACCAAAAACTTAGCGCTGTGTTTTTACTGAGGGAACGCTATTCCAATTTTAAGTTATGCTGTTGATTATATGATTTGTATATGATTATTTTTTACTTTTAATTTTTTTATATAAATTATATGATTAATTTTGATAAATTAAAAATTTAACATATATTTAAGAATAAAATTGATTCAATTAAAAATATAAAAACATATCAAAAAATTATGTATTGGGCTATCAATTCTTTATTGTTTACTTTGTTAGCATTTGTTTCATGTTGAGGTAATTGTGTCGTCATAAGTTTAGAACGAAACTCATATTTGAATTAGGTGATTATGACGTGCCAACTGCTAAAGCAATGAGCATCATAATCTAATGTTAGGTGGATAGTGCTGCTCCCATGGAAGAAGACCTTTCCATCTTATTTAGTTCATTAAATAAACTATAAACCATAATGCCAATGTGGGCAAGTAATCCTCACATTGAAAAGCCACTTAGATGTTAATTAAAAATCTTTAATTATAAATTATCATGCCTAAAAAGTGCAATTGAGAACAACCTTTTCGTGCCACTTCTTGTGTGATTTTCAAAGGTTGGGTATGAGTTAATTTTTTACTAAATAATCCAAAACATCTTGAGCTTTCAATCAAACACAAATAGATCCTTAATCTTTAAAAAATTTAATTGATTATTATGATTTTTTCTTTTTTTGGTAAATAATAATCTATTAAGCTGGTTTTTTAGCAACGAACATGCATAGAAGTCATTTGACAATTTTGAAAAATAATATGTCTCATTAATTGACATCTCTATTCAAGTGTTATATTTTAGATTTAAATTAGTAGGATAAATGTTGTTTTTCAAAGCTATCACATGACTTGAACATATGATCGATGCAAAAAAAAAAAAAAAAGGCTAAAAAAACCTAATTATTTATCAAAAATTAATTAATGGTTGTCAAATTAAAATTTTTAAAAGTAAAAAGCGTATCTTAATTTGATTGGAAGTTCATGATACTTTATTTTGGCTTAATGTTCTTTTTCTTTTCTCTTTTGGCGAAATTGGAATTGGGGTGGTTGCTTGATGTCTGTAATGAGACAGCTACTTTTGTGTGTATGAAAGGCGGAGAGATATGGAGAAGTCTATAATGCAATCTTTCTCACCCACCACTTTCCTTTCTATGAAATTTAAAATTACAATTTTGCTTTTAGGATGATTGAATCACTGAAAATGAAGAAGATAAGCCATGTTAATCAATGCTTCTTTTTCCATTGTTTTCAGGCAAGAAACTTGGTTTTTGTGTTGCTTAAAATGAAGAACATATAAAGCCATAATCACTAGAGACCAGAGAGAAACATTGTGAAAGCTACAAGGATTAGAATATATTTTACCCTCTTTTCACATCATCAATTTCCTAGAGAGGTTCATTAGTATTTTTTTTTTATTATTATTCCTAAGATATCTCCTGCTCAAAAATTCAAACTAATTTCTTATTATTCTGTCGGACGTATAAGGTAGATACAATTACTCAAAAAAAATTTATATAAATAAAGACTTGAATTCAAGATCATTATTTAAACGACTAAAGCTCTTTCTATTCAAACCAATCTTCTACACCAACCCTCTTTGACAAAAAAGTCCATTAAATCTTTGATTTTTCAATTGTATTGGAAAGCATATATATATATATATGAGATTTTCTAATTTGCCTATTGCTTTAGCAGCTTAGCATCATGTTTATGTTCTTTTTCCAATACAAATTACCCCCTTTTCAAGGAGAAAAAAAAAATCAACGAGCAAATGCATCAAATCACATAAAAAAAATTCCCACTAAATCCATCTTTCTTTCTAATTAAATAGACAGTGCAATTATTGTAAAAATAAACGTTAAAAACAAATCAGTCTAACTAAAGATTTATAACCATCTTCTTCTTTAAATTATGATATCAACTTCACAATTAGTTTTTTTTATTCCTCTAAAATTTTATAATTAGTCCTACATTACTTGAGACTAGCTATGTTAAGTCATATTAACCATTAAATCAACTTGAATCTATCTTCTTTTTTCTTTATTAAGAAAAAAACTCTTTTAATAGCTATAAAAGTTAAAAATCGAATAAATTATAAATTAACCGCTCTTGCTTTGAGAAACAAATTAATTTGTCTCTTTTGTTTTAAAGATTAATCATTTAATCTTTTATGTTTTAATTTTATCAATCAATTAATTTTTTCATCAGTTTTATGTCGGATTAGTGAATTTTTTTCTTAAATTGTTTTTTATGCCTTTTTTTTTTTTCACCTACTCTCTTTTTCTCTCCTCAACCAAAAATCAAAAGAAAGGCGATTTTGAAATAAAAATAATTAATCTAGTGAAAAACTTATGAAAAAACTAAGTTTTCGATGGAATTAAAACAAGAGAGACTAAATGGTTAGTTTTTGAAAGAAAATATATTAGTTAATTTGTTTATGTAAACCAAAGGGACTAATTTAAAATTTACTCGTAAAAATCCAACCCCTCATATAGAAAAATGTTTGCAGAACCATGGCTCCAACCTTTTCCCTTGCTCTTTTCGAGCTCAATTACCAATGTGTTTACGCAAGAAAGCCATCTCACACTCTTTTTGAATCTCTTGGCATTGTACTATAAAGGTTCAAACAAAAGGCAAGTCCTTCCTTTTTCTCTGTCGAAAATACTGAAACTAGGGGACGCAAAACCCTAAGAAGCAAATAAAACTAAAGAGAAAAACAAAGATAGAAAAGAAGAAAAAGAAATCATAGGGAGTAGAGATTGGAAGCTTTCGTAAAGGAACTTTATGCTGGAATAATTTTTGCTTGATTGGCGCTTTACGTTTTGTCCTTTTGATTAATCCCTTTACCTTTGTCTTGTGTCTATTTTTGACTATTATTTTTATTATATAGTTTCCAATCTTATAAAACTTTTTGTCCTAATAAATAAGGAATTTTTTTATGTGGAAAATTTTGTCCTTTGTAGGAATGGAATATGCAAGGAATATAGAAATATTAGTTTGAAAGTGGAGAATATTGGTTGGGTTGGGTGGCAGTTGTCGAACATATATTTTGATTATATTTTATGTAGACATTTTTTTTTTCTTGTAGTTTGTGGGTGAAGGAATACAAAATTATAACTTTTTTCTATAGAAAAGAGATTGATATAGCAATTCATTTATGCTTCCATCTTTATTGTGCTTTTGCCTCCTCAATTTTCATGAATAACGAGGCAATTTACTTTACTTTTTTGTTCAATGGTAAGAATGATTTTATTTATATATACTCTATTTATTTGAAACAGGATTTTCTTTATATTTAAATTCTGTTTTTTTTTATTGAGACATTCTACTTTTTTATTGGTTTGATTGAAAATATTTATTCTTTTTAGATTCTTATTTAAATTTTCTATTATAACACTATTAATGTCACCAATCGATAATCGACACACTCTTTATATTTTTTTAAAAGAATTTAAAATTTAATTTGTAAACGTTTAAAATAATTTATTATAATGTTTCTAATGTTATCAATCAGTAATCCACGTATTCGTTTTATTTTTAAAATTTTTTAAAATTCAATTTGATGATGTTTAAAATAATTTATTACAATGAATAAATGAACAATAACATATAGAGTGACATTTGTCGAAAACTATAGGAGTGGGCAAACCAGGGTTGAGGTTTTAAAAACCTTTTTCACCCGATAAAGAAAACAATACTGTCCTGCCAATTTCCATACTTTATGTTATCCCAAAAGCAATTTTTGTTAAAGAAAAGTTGGAACTTGCTGTCTTGGGCTGTCAGCCATGAATCCTGTCCCAGAGAAGCAGCTAATTAAGCAGAGCCACTTGATCAAGTCAGGCAGAAATTGCTGCTCAAAAGAGTTCAACAGAGAAATGTCCAATGCCTAGGATACCCTCCTCTTTTCACTTTCTTATTGAACTAGGGGTGGATTTTCCATCAAGCCAAGGCAACATTATTTGAGCAATTGAGTTTGCATTTGAATTTCATAACACAAAACAAAATTAAGTTAACATGATTTTGAAAATAAAAATGCTAGTAAAAATAATTATCACATTTTAATGATAGTAATTTCGTATGAGCTTTTCATATTTAATCAATTAATACTCATCAAGTTCGATTTTACTTTTTATTACTTTGTGTCTATATATATATGTGTGTGTGTGTGTGTGTCTATCAGCAACATTACAGCATAA